CCCCAAAACCCCAAAACCCCAAAACCCCATTATTAATACATTGATAGTATAAATAAAACTATAAATTTTTCCAAATTAAAATTATCAAATTTTTTATTGAATCAAATATAATTATACTTTTCTTCAATTGAAGTTTTCAGAATTTCAACTTTTTGCTTTGCTGAGCCAATCTCTAATTCTTTTCTTGCAATTTCTGTTGCTTAACTTATGCATTATGCAAATTAAACCAATCCAAATTTTCTGCAATCTTTCCACTATTATCTAAAACCTTGTCCCAAACTTCGGCTTTTGCAGCGATATGAGGGAAGAGATTTAAAAATTCCTCATGAGTTACCTTATTTCCATTTTTAACGAGCTTCATGTACAATCTGTATAAACTTGTTTTGCAAGGATTAAAATTAGCTGGATATATCTTAAAAGCATCCTTATAGAGTTTAGTTCCAAAGTATTGACCTTAACAAACCAATTAGAGCTTTCCTCTTGCATCAGACAATGTCAAAGATTGATCTATTAAAGCCTAAATGAGCAGGGAGTAATCACCTTAACCAAGGCTGAAATGATTTTAACACATTATGGCAGCAGCAGTGTAGATATTAGGAGCATCGAGGAACAATTACACTTAAGCACTTGACTTAGCACCTAGATATACACTTCTTATTGCACTTTCCCTTCCAGCAAATTCATTTCTTAATTGGGAGAGAAGGATATTTCTTAGATAGTTCTAAGAATCTTGAGTGTTCAATATCTCTCTGTAGTTTTTATTCTATATTGATTCTCTTCTGTGGTGATTCTTTGGATTCATAGCATTCTGCAAGAATAAGGATAGCATAACTTCATTATCGTTGTTTATTTATGGCAAGTCTCCGAAACCTTTCAAATCTCCAACCTTCAATAGATTCGCTAAAATGATCAAATCCTACTACTTCTTATTGAAGTATTTTTGAGAGCTGCTTACCAATTTGAGTGAATCACTTCCATCAATCTTCAAAGCATTTTACCAAGGAAGTTTAGCGACCGCATCATCTGCAGCCTTTATTAAGTCAACCTTTTCATCTTATTTCTTTTCCTCTCCTCCTGAAATTTTTGAATCTTCCTTCTTTTCTTCCTCATTTGATTCCTCTTCATTGCTAATAGTTTTAAGATTAGCCTAGTCTAAAGCCTTGAAGAAGTTTGCTTGGCTAGTGTATTCAGAGAATTAATCACTTGAGGCACCTTACTTATCATCTTTCTTGAACTCATTTTGAATCTCGATTTCCTTTACTTTCATGATTTCATCTACATATGTGGCGTAATCTGGGAACAGAGCTTTGAGAATAGTGTTCTTGGTAAGAATCTCAGCATCTGATCTGATACATCTTCTAGAGTGTTCCTCGAAAGCGAATCTGAAAATGTTTGCTAGTGTAGGCTAGTCTAATTTGAAGTCCTCAGGCAAATAAGATTCATAGTTCTCTACTAAGGTTATAACATAGAGCTGTGCGAGCATCACTGGGATTGATGCTACAATATCAGCAGTTCTAGATTCAGGATTTTTATGGAAATCAACAATTTGTTGAATAGCCATCTTTCTATGCTCCTCATTGAAACTCATAATGTTCTTGCAAGTTTCAAGAACAAGGGTAACGATCTTGGAGTAGATTTCAACCTTTTGAGAGTTATTCTTTTCCAATGCTTTCAATAGTACAAGATATGGAACTGTGAAATACTAAGATGAAGCATATCCCATTACATCAAGAGTGGTAATGAAACCATAGACAGGTGGAGCCTTTCTTCTTGCAAATTCCCAATGTTCTTTGAACAAATATAGAGGCATGATACCAGTTATGTTTTCTCTGCCTACACCTAAGGCTAATTAACCTTGATTCTTAACGTCATAACCACCGTGAGCCTCTTCATTTCTTTTGATTGTAAAAGCAGCAACAGTTAAGAAGCTATCAGCTGACATGAATGTTGGAATAATATCCTTGATAACAAGTCTGGTAGGATCAGCAATAGCAGCCTCAGATCTGCCAACATCTAGACCAAGACACATACAGTCAGATTCTTCCATGGTTTGAATCAAATCATTAGTTGATATGGGACAGCTTCCAATCATATCTATTAAATCTTTATATTCTTCTCTTAAGGCCTTGAAGTCCATTTTCTTAGCTACACCTTTAAGTTACTAATCTAGCTTTTTATAGAATCCTTCATTCTTCACAGCTCTTTCATCAAGCTTCTTTTGAAGTCCTCTCTTTCTGACAGCCTTGTAAGCCAAATCATTCAATTAAGCGATTTGAACATTGTTGATGCGTCCACCAGTGGATGCTCTCAATACCTCCATCACTTTGGAGGTCTTATCTTTGCATTCACCAATTTCCTCCATAATCACCTTTCTGAGATCTCTATCCTTGATTTTCATTGAAGATTCAACAAAAGAGTCTAGTTCCTTATCAAGATTCATGATATACTCCAATAGCTCAGTGTGAGTTCTTACTTTAATGTCAGATTGAATTTCTTGGACAGTTTCAAAGATAAGTTTATTAATATACTTTATCTGAGCTCTTGAAAGAACTTCTGCAGGTGGGTTCTCGACATGCACCAACTCAAAGGTGATATTGATAGTTTTCTTACCAAATACAAGTTCACCCCTTAAGTCTTAAAGTGCTCCCTCTCTAATGATGATCTACTCTGAAAACTCTAGTAATTCATTAGCATTATCATCCATTTTAATTTCCTCATTCATTTCAGCATCTCCATCTCCATCTTCATTTTCCTTTGATTCCTCAATCACATAGTTCTTTTGAAGATTAAGCTTTTACTTCAATTCAAAGGCATGAGATGAAATGTTAAGAGCAAGGCCATCTTATCTACCTGCCATTGACACAGACTAAGATAGACACTCTTAGATTTATTGAGAATAGTCTCCAGTATCAGTATTTATATAGAAGAAGTTACCCAACTCACTACCAGTATTAGATATGCGATTCAAGAAAGGAGCATCATGAGAAGAAGTGAACCCAACTGTCAGGAATCTCGAGTTCAGATTGTTTTTCTATAAGTATGCTTTCAAGTTTTGCAATGATTTTTCAATCACTTCCTTATTATTGCAAGTATCTTGGCCATCAGTGAAGAAAATAACTGAAACATCTCTAATTCTGCCAGAATACTATGTGAGAAATTGCTCAATGTACTTGAAAACTGCTACAAAGTTAGTGCTTCCTCTGATGCATTGACTGTTCACATATTTTTGATAGCCAATCAAGTCATTAGCCTCCATTGCATGGACTGAGTCGTCATAGTAACAAACTGATACCTTCTCATAATCCTTAGTTGCAAATATAGATTCACCAATCATGATAGCACCTTTTTATAAGGCTTCAAATGGCTTTCCACTCATTGAGCCACTTTAATCGAAACACAATATCAATGCTCTTCCATCAGCACTTTGAGTCTCACCAGGAGTGATTCCAGTAAGTTAATTGAAGTCAGTCTCTTTCATTTGAGTTGAGATCTAAGCATAGACGTAGTCTTGTCTGATCGGGAAATACTTTAAAGTGAAATTTTTAGTTTATGAACTTTCCATTAACGATAGATTAAAACTTCTAATATTGGAGAGCATTCAAGCTAATGATCCAATAGATATATTTTAAGTCATATTTATTGGCTGGATAATTCGTATTTTATTTATCAATCTTTTAAAAGATTTCATTACAGCATTTTGGGGTTTTGGGGTTTTGGGGTTTTGGGG